ATAAGTTGTTGTATGTTGACATAGTGCAGTTTACCTCCGAGGTAGTTCTACAAAATGCAATGTATGGGTTGATATTTTAAGAATATTAGTACTTATCATTTTATTTTTTAAATTACTAAATGTAATGTAAAAAATGGCAATACGAGTAACAAACTTTTTGTAACATTTAACTTTAAATTGTATTTATTTACCTTGCAAAACTGTGACTCTTTTTGTAGGTTCTGAATGAGGAAATACTGTTGGGAATGCATTTGCAAATAATCGTTTTCTTGTTCCTGACTGATAAACGAATTTATTCTGGAAGTACTTAAGTGTTCAACACCCTTTCCCAATAAGTTCTCTCTATTTGCTGCCTTAAGCCACAATTCAAGTCTGAAAAATACATACAATCATTGTAATACCATGTTATGGCAAGGTCAATTCCTATTTTACCCTCAAGGTTTCATACCTACCTCACTTGATCTTTCACAAGTGTGAACAATCCTTCTTTGCCACCTGTTCTTGAGGTACATCCACGATAAATACAAGTATATCCTCCTCCTCTTTAAAGCGGCATTGTTTATAAACCTAATCCTAATACATACAATAAAGTCTTAAATTAACAACTCCATAATTAAAAACATCAACAACAACTAAAAATAAACCACTAAAAAACGTAAAAGTTATCAGAATATTCGCTAAAAACAACCAAAAATCCAAAACGACAAAAAAAGACACGACAGAAAAAAAAATATTGATTTTCTAACAGCGACAGCAGTGACATCTTCGTTCATCTGCTATAAAAGTGTGCACTGTTGAACTTCGAACAAGTAACAAATCTACGGTTCAATTTTGACAATGCTCCACCATGAAGAAGGTATGGCTTCGGTTGCTAGGTTCCTGTTTTAGCCCTATGTTTCTTTTCTGTATTTTTCTTTATCCTGTGACTGTATTAATAAGTGATAATTCTCTCAAACTAATTGAAAATATATTTTTTGGTTATTGAGATTAAATATAATTAAAAATAAGTGATTCTTTTAAAGAATAGATAAATAATATCACTCCACAAGATATTCGTTTATATTTGCAAATAAATCGTAAATTTTAATAAAACTATACAAAGGTATTTAATTTTTTTAATTTGGTGTCATCGGCATCAACTACTTACGTTATTAGCCTCGTGTTATGTGCAGGCGCTGTTACTGTTTTCCAGTACCACTTTAGGAACAGCACAGTCGAGTGGGGAATAATAATTTAATTTTTTAAATTAAATAAAAATCCCTGCCTCCAGCGGGATTCGAACCTGATACCGTTCGATGTTAAAGTCATGACTCTAACCACTAAGCCAACCCACCCCTAAACTAATTTAATTATAAGTATTAAGAACATTAGTTGTTACCTTAGCGCAGAGATAGAGTATTTATTTGCCATGCGGTGTACAAATCCAGGATTGAAGATTAATTCAAATTTTTTCAAGTTTATGTTATTTTATAAATTAGTTAATTTTTAAATTATTTTAAAAATACAGCATCTAAATTAATTTGTTGAATTTGTGGGTCGTAAAAAATATTCTGTACAAATCGAGTGGATTATCCGTATAGCCATCATGTCCACTCTGTTTGCTCATAAAGCTATCATATTTCTTTTCTTTTAAAATTATATACTTTAAACTGACTAGTAATTTTGTGTTAACCTTTATATTGTGTTTACCCTGTTTGAATGTGTCTACTTAACAAGCACCACGTTCACATATAAAAAATAGTAGGTTAGGTCAATTTAAAAAATATATTTACAGAAATATAGTTTTTCTGAACCAACTTGAATATTAGCTATTCTACGGGCAGACTACAGTACCAAAAAGTATGCCATTCTTTCAACTGAACGAGAATATTTCATATCCATTCTAACTAGTAAGTACACTGCACAGATATAAAATCCACCAATTACAGTTCATATTTTAGTCACCCGGCTACCATTTTTTTTTTATTTAAAATAAACGACAATTCTATCAAACTAATTATTGTCAGTATATTTTTCAGTTTTTGAGAATATACATTAAAATTAGAATCGATAAATAACAGCATTTCTATTTTGATTTCTTTCATTTATATTTACAAATAAATTATACGTTATAATAAAACTATATGAAATCAATTAAATCAGTATTATAATGATAGGTGTCTATGGAGCTGAAACTAGCCCACTTGGCTGTCATACGAGAGGTTCCGGGTTCATATCTAGGATTCGAAACAAATTAAAAAATCGTCATTTTATTTTAGGAAGTTGGTTTTCCGATCAATGGCGTTTTCTATCAAATCTATTTTCGAACAGTTTTCACTAGTAATACCACTAGAGGTCAAATTATTTCCTGATATTAATTTGACCTCGCGTGGTATTCGGTAAGAAAATTCCACGCCGAATTATGGTTGAAAATTAAATATTTTTAAAATTTATTTTTCGTTTCTCAACAATGCAAATTATTTTCTCCAAGTCACCAGTGAAACATAAAAGGTGTTGTCGCCTTGATTGTTTAGTTGTCATGGTCACTAAGTGAGACCCTAACCTCGAATATAATTTCAGTTTTGAAGTTGTCAAGCGGCCCGACGTAAAAAAATGTTTCGCTGCAATTATTTAGGCCTTCAAATTGCTTATTTCTACTCATTGTAGTTGCATGGGAATACCATTTGAAAATAGAAAATAGTATATTCTTTAATTTTACGTATGTTTTGAATAACTACAAGTGGTAGAAAATTGTTTTTCTGCGTTTTTATTAACATGCGTTATGAGCGCTTTAAAATGGTATGAAATTCATAACCAGCGTCAGCAAGCATCAATCGTAGGAGGCTATGATCATTGTATTTTGACAGTTCAAAACATTAAATAACTCGCGTTTTGTTGCGATAAAGAATATTGCACAGCAAGTAAAACCAACAAAATTACCTATTTGTTTAAAAATGAATCGATTTGAAAATCATACGCTATGCAAAATATGCGTGAAATTGTCTGATGTAATGATCAATCATTGCACCATGACTTACTTACTCGGATTAATAGAGGATTGTGGCTCCAACTTGAAAAACGAAAATTTGTTCCGAATTGTCCACGAATATTTGCACCTAAACTACGCAAAATTCAAAGTGCTGAATGGGAAAAAGGTGAATAAATTAGTGTCTAAATATTATATATATTTTATTAGACATAGACACATAATTCAAAGCATCCAAAGTCCTGCATTTTCGCCATTAAGAAGAAAAGAAGTGGCCGAAGAATATAGAAAACACCTTAGTATTGTAACTAAAATGTATCAAAACTAAACCTATTATGTGAACAAATAAAAACCAGTCTGTCAAAAATGGTCTGTTATTGTAAACGTCAAAAAATTTCCAGTATAATTCGCTGTTGGGTACCCCACGAGAAAAAAAATTCCACTAAAATACCTCCGTTGCCATGGTGATCTGTCAAAAACACGTATTTTGATTGGTTCAAAATTACAGGGGTGGAATTTTCTTTTCAATTATTGTTCTTTTCGATATTTTTTTTTCGATCAATTGTTATTTGATAAAATGTTTTTTTGATCAAATGCATACGAACAAATAGTTTCGATTAAATGTTTTTAATGAATTTTGTGTCACTCATTTTGGTACATTTCACATTTCCTCAAAATCCTAAATCTATACCAGGTGTTCAATTGAAAATGGGACATAGAAAAACGAATAAACAAAACTTGCTTGGGTAAAATGTTACTCATTTCCTAAATACAGGGTGTTAAAGTTAAAATTTTTATTACTCAGTATATTTTTACTAAATTCGGTAGATGTTTTTGATGTCATAAGATACATCTATAGTATTTTTAATATAAATCCCGATGCACGTCTTAAATTATTTATGACGTCAGGGCCTTGTAGTGTTTTCTAATCATCAGAATAGTTTAGGAATTTAGAAAGTTTTGAAATAGTAAGGTTATGTATTTGTTTGTTATGTTACTAGTTAGCAGGGGCGGCTCGTTACCAAAATTTTGGGGGTTTACAGTAGCAGAATATAGATCCCGGTACAGATATAGGTAAAAACTGTCAGTGTTTTAGAATAGTATATTATGCAACGATCATGTAACGATAGCTACACGAGCTTGAGGTAAGTTACGACACGAGCTTGAGGTAAGTTACGACACGAGCCAAAGGCGAGTGTCGCAAATCTCAAGCGAGTGTATGAATAGATATTACAAAAGAGTTACATACACTTGTTTTTCTACGACCAAGAAACTATTTCAATTCAACAACATTGCTTTATTTTTTTATTTTTTTAATACTTTTTTACACATATAATAAGATATAAAATATGAAAAAAGAAATAAGTTCTTCGATTTAATTTTTATTCCTACACAATAACCAATATAATAACTATAATGATACATTTTTCGCCTTTTTAGCGATTTCAGGTGGTGTGTATGAAAATACTTCGTCGCTCGATATTTTTTTTTAAATTAAGTGAGAGGTACTTATCTACCTTTTTGACTAACGCAAAAGAATAAAACTATCATAAAACACGAATCTCTTAGAAACTGTCATTCTACAGAAAATGTTGAGTCTGCCTACTTGCTTATTTAAAAATCTAGATTTCTATTGGTCAATTTTTTAATTTCATAATGAAAACCAGTGTTATAATGAGTATCATTATGAAACTGAAAATTGGCGTTTATTAGCTTATGCAGTGTTTTTCAACCTGTGGGTCGCGACCCCCTGGGGGGTCGCGAAGCTTCTGTAGGGGGTCGCCAGAGGTCGAGAGAACTTCAGTAAAAAATCAAATTTTTAATCTTTATGAATTAAGAGAATTTTAACAGAAGGATATACTCATAAACATTTGTATGTTAATACAAACAAATTAACAAAAAATAAAATTCTAAGACTCATGTTAATGCAAAGGTTGTGCTTGTTTTTGATTAATCAATTTCTCCCATCGTGGATCTGTATTTACTACACATAGAATTAAATCGTTTTCCAAATTTAAGCGATTTCTTTGCTAACTTTTTATTTGGGCCATTGATGAAAATGTCAACTCGCATAAGTACGAGGTGACAAATGGAATCAAACACTTCAAAGCCTCAGTTGTCAATTCCGGGTATTCTGTTTTTCTCTTTAACCAAAAGGTATCCAAATTAACAGACTTGAATTCCAAGTGTAACATCCCATCGGTAGATAATTCTAGCATATTCTCTTTGAGCTTAGTTGACAAATTAACCTCATTTGTAGCTGCATTTAAAAACGGATTTAAGATCCACCTCTGCCCAGTTTTCTCCAATGTCTCTTGCACTGAAAAGTAATGACACAATTCTCCTTTCAAATTATCTAACACCATTATCTCACATCCGACTGCTTTATTAAAAGATTGTGTCGACGAAAATGAATCGAAGTTATTTATTTATAGACGACGACCACAAGTCAATATTTTTTGTAAAGCCATGTATTTTGTCTTTTGCAGTAATGTCATTTTCATCTATCCCTTGAAGACTTTTATTCAAGATATTTAAATGCTTAAATAAGTCAGAAAGAAAAGCTAATTTTAAAAGAAATTCCAGGTCGCAAATCAATTTAGAGTATTTTAACTTGGCCTGCTGTAAATATATTAAAAGTTCAGCACAAAGTTCCATAACTCTGGTCAGTACTTTGCCTTTTGACAACCACCTAACCTCTGGATGGTAAAGTAAATGTTGGTAGAGTGCCCCCATATCTTCACAAATAATCCGAAACAATCGTGTCTGCAACGCTTTTCCTTTGATAGAATTTACAATTTTTATAATAATATTTAGAACTTGGCTGTATTCCTATGGGAAGGTCTTAGCCGCAAGAGCCTAGCCATAAATCCACTCTTCGTACCAGTCATCGCTTTTGCTCCGTCGCTGCAAATAGCAATGCATTTATTTGCCCAATCGATATTCATATCTTGCGTAGCTTCAAGAAACATGTTGTGCAAGCACTGACCTGTAGTATTTGTGGGAAGCGCTCGCAAAATAGTATTTCTTCTATTAATTTTTCATTGGATTCAAAACGCACATACAAAATGCTATATTGCTAGTGCTAGTGCTAGTGCTATATTATGTACTTATATCCGAATCCTAATTATGGATACTCAAAAACATCGTATGGAATGAATATTTGTAACAGTGTAACATAACACATACATACATGATAAAAAAGCGAAGGGTCGGGGGGTCGCGAAATATTTTTTCATGCCAGGGGGGTCGCATCATTAAAAAGGTTGAAAAACACTGGCTTATAGTATAGGAGTAGAAAAAAGCTGTAAACATATTGCTAGTCATAGAAAATAAAACTGTAAGGTACTATATTGCATATGGATCAAAATTGGTCCAGAATTTTAATTTCACCAAGGAAGTTATTTAACATAACTACATTTAAGTTATAAACCACAACTCCCCATAAAATTGAAAAAATTAAAACTACAAAGGTATGTGGAGGAGTCATAATATAATATCAGTAAATAGTAGATACCTGTACTATAAATTATAAAGGGTTGGGATAAAGTATGGAACCAAGTAAATAGCTTTAAAACGAAAATGACGATATTTATGAAACTGCAGGCAAGTACAATAACGCATAACGCATCTGATGCCATATTTTTTATTACTACTGTATTCCCGGTGTTACCGTAAATACCCTCAACTTTTTCTAATTTAAAGGGGACACCCTGTATATTTTTTCAGATTTTAAAAGATCTTGTACGATACTGTACGAATTCGGAATAATAATTAAATAATTAAAGTTTAAAATTGCTAAAATTGTTAAAATATTTGAGTAGGTACTTTAGTAAATCTCACTTTCAGTAACGGTTCTGTATCTCAAGCATTCAAGATAGCCAGAAATGCTTCTAAAATAGACTGATATCGCTGCTTTTTTTCAACTCTAAAGTTATTGAAACATGTGTGAACAATACTTTTTGCTATAATATCTACTCTTATATTTGTTTATTGGTCTTTTTCCAATCATTGTAAATATTAAAAAGTTGTATAACTCGCATAGCGAAACCTCAGAGTCTAATATTTTTTTTTAATTTTTGAATAATTTAATTAAAAATACAGATTTATAAGAAATATATCAAATTATTTATTAATTTCAAAATTAGGCATTTTTTTAAATACAGGGTGGGGCATCCTATACGCGTCGATCTCTGTAGGGACGACTTAAATTTGAATTTTTTTTCTTAATAGGGATATACATTAACACTACAAATTAAAAATTATTTGGATTATACATGGTGACCCAAAAATAGGAATTTATATCAAAGTTATGTTTTTTTAAAGGGAACACCCTATATTTGATGGTGTCTTTTGATTCCCCAGAAAAAATAAAGTAAAGTTTCTGTAATGTTTCCTATACCTATCTTTTTTCGTTTTTGAAACATTTAAAGCGTTCTTAATTTGTAAGCTTGAACAACATAATCTAGTATGTCGCGGTTATTAAAAACTCATCAACAGTCACCTGCGATATGCGTAGCCAAGATATTAGACTATCGAATGAAATGCAAATTTTTCCATTACTTCATACAGGGTATTCATTTAGTCTAATTGAATTCAACTTGCATATGGAGTTGAATAATATTCATATTTTAAATGGCACACCGTGTATTTAATAACTTAAACTGATAGACATTTAAATTATCTTTCATTCCATATAAGATTTCCGGTTTCTTAGTATATATCTGTTTTTATGTTTAACATAGCTAATTTTTGTAAATACTCTTTCCCGTCAAAGTGACCATTGAATTTAAATGTCAAATGCGAGTTTGACATTTCTAATTAGTGAATTAGATAACAAATGTACGAAAAATCGAATTTGAAACATGAAAACTTATTCTAAAGCAGAGATAATTGATGTGGTGCTTGTTCTTGGTGAGAGAAACCTGACAGACGTGCTTTTGAAAGATTTAAAGTTTAAAGTTAGTGGAAACGTAGATTATAAAAAAAATTTTCAGCCTCAACCTATTGTAGGAGATCATGATAATGAATGTTGGGTTATTGGCTCACTAATTGAAAACCCACACACAAGTCATCGGGCTATTAGTAGAGAAACTGGAATAAGTAGAAGTATTGGAAAAATAATAAAAAAACAAATTTCATCCTTATAAGATACAGCTGCACCAAGAACTGTATCAAAGGGACTTTCAACCAAGAATCGATTTTTGTTTATGGGTTATGGATGAAGTAGAATGTTTTCGGACGAGTGCACGTTTCATAATAATGGATTCGTTAATCGCCATAACTTTCATTATTATAGTGATGAAAATCCTCACGTCTTTCGTACTCTCGATCATCAGCATAGGTGGTCCTTGAAGGTGTGACATCAAAGATAACCATATGAAGACAATTAAAATGAAAAAATTTGATTGGAGTGTTCAATAAAAATATACATGCTTTCCACATTCTCAAGATCTACAGTGAAAACAAAAAATGCCTTTTATTCAGAAATTCACTTTAAAACAATATAAAAAAATTATAAAACAAAAACAAAACAACAAGTTTTCTTACTCGATACACACGATTACTGATACCTTTATTTACTTCAAATTTGGCAACCATTAATTTTTGTAAGTCTAATACCCTTTGTCATTATTTTGCCATGAGTTGTTTAATGATCCATTTTAAAAGATACATGTTTCATTAATGAAAACGAACTGCTTCTTTTGTATTTCTATAATTTCTTAAAAATTAAACTCTACGTCTTGGTTATCTTTTTTTCCTTCATTCTTTTAAAACAGTTACAATGATGCAATATAGCCATTAAACATTTGTTTCTCAATCAACTTTTCTCTAAATGGTTCCAAAGTTACACGTTGACCTGCAAATAAGTATGTATTTTTTATATTACTGTAGATTGAAACTTTATAATAAAATAAATTTGTCTTTATACTTACTTGTTTCATACATGTTATAAATACCATTTCGGATTCCACCAGTATTCAGTGTTATTGTATTAGTAATCCTTTGTTTATATGAATGCTTTTTAAATAGCGATTTTAATCATTCAGGTTAATTACGTAAGTTTAGGATTTATGCAACATGCTAAAACAGACAAGAAATCCATTTCATAATTCTATACTACATTTATAATAATTTTTTACTTACGTCTTATACAGCACAGAGTTGAATGTAATAGTGATGTATCGTTCATCATGATCTCGTTCAAAATACTGCATTAAAGAAGCTACAAGTTCCTATTCAGTTTTTGACATTTTGTTTGCAGAAATAATCAGCTTTTTCTCACAGTGTTTGTCTTAGAAATCATGAAATCAACTTGTAATCATAATTTAAAACCGAACCTAAATTAGTGAAATTTTTTAAAATATTATTAGCATCACCGAAACAAAGTGTACCAATTTCCATACCGACATTCCTTCTCCATAAATAAAGGTTTCATGGGCGTACAGAATGTCAAATTATTTAATGTAAAGTATGTTTTTTTGAGTATTAAACGTATAATACAATTTTAATAAATTTTATGTTATCAAGAATAAGACGTGTACGAGTATATGCTAATTAATTGAAGAAATTCTAAAATTATCAAAATAATCACACTTATATAATTCAATTTTTAGTAATATGACTACATTCATCAATGCTCGTGAATATTCTTGACATTTTCGGATTATTAGCTTAGTTAGGGATAATTGGATTAGTTGGTAGTATTTGGACGAAGGACCAACGTCAATTGATGACGTACAACGGGGTTTGTATTAAAAATACTATATCAGCAAAAAAATAAGTTAAATAAACTTTGCAAGTGGCGTACGGCATCGTTAAATAATAACTACATCCTGTCTATGTGTGTACATATCTCGAAAACCAATCACTATATAAGTTTCCAACAAAAGTACATAATTTATGTAAAAAACACCAAAAAAGATTTAAATTATAGTCCAAATAATAAGTGTTTGGAAGGGAAGCTGTTACTTAACCATGCCGTACGATATGCCGATAAGTGTATCTAATGACACTTAATATGTTTGCAGAATTTAGTTAAATTATACTGAGTATTAAAAAAATAGGCAATAATTTTTGAATTTTCAAATTTAACTCCCTGTATTTCGGAAACGAGTCACATTTTAGCTAAACATGTTTCGTTGAATCGTCTTATTTTTAATCAAATAATCTTCAGATGTTCTATACAATTCTCTTAATTCTTAATCAAACTAAATGAATTATAAGTTTAATAAATAACACTCGCAGTCATTTCTAACATATTTAGTATAAAAAGCTACAGGCTATTACCTATTCACCTATTCTATTCAATAAAATAAAATTGGTATCAATTATTTGGGACAAACACCAAATACATTTTTTACCGCGAAAATAAACTGAATGAGCTTTTATTTCCATTTTAACCTATTAACCCCGTTTCTGTTGCTATTGCCCCAGAGACCTAATCCTAAAATCAAACAATCTGTGTTTGTGTTCCAGATCGAAGTAAATTCGAAACCGACTGTATTAACTCGCTCGCCTGTCACTAACGAGCCAATCAGTCATTCAGAAACAATTAGTAATATTTTATTTCCAAATAAACCGTTCAGGAAACCCTGTGGTTTCGCTCTGCCAATCCTCGTTTTCAATGCAATGAATCAATATCAATACACCTACGACCTGAAAATGTAAACGGGAGTCTCGGCCGATGGTGATGAATTAAGGTCTCTCTTGAAAAAAAAAAGGTTGAATTTTTTGAGATTATGTGGTTGATTGAGAATATATTAATTAAATGTTGTAGAATGCTGTTCTAATTTCGTTAAGCCTAGTATAGTAAAATACCGAGGGATACAAACTCGGTACATGTCTCAAGTATAAGCAGTATAAGCAAAGCAAAAAGTACTCTTTTCATAGTTTCTCACCTAAATATAATATTTATATTTATAAAATTGCTACTATTTTCCGTAACTAGTCTATAGTATAGAACAATTTT